TATTATGGAATATCCCCCACAAAAATCTCACAGTCCCTCCTTGAAAGCCCATTTTTCACTTGTTTTGACGGTGACACTCATTCTCCTAAGCCTGCTCAGTGCCAGGTCCCAGCTGTGGTGGGAAGAGCTGTACCCAGCCAGCCCATCCACCCAAGAGTAGCCAGTAGCACACACAGCAGCGAGCCCATGGGAATACAGCAAATGCTGGCTCTCTCACAAGCACTCTCAAATCTCCAGCGATTTGTGACTCAAGAACGTCCTCAGTCAGAGGCTTTGTATTTAACAACCCTCTGTGGAACTTTCTCTGTGGATTTCTCTTGTGTTGCACAGAACTGAAGCAGGCTTCCAGCATCCATGACATTCCGTAGTGAGGAATGTGACAGTGTAGGTGAAGAGCTGTCTCCTCTTCAGAAGCTGCTCCCTCTGCCCTTCCTTTTACCACCCTTTGGCTTTGTATCAGGAGAAGACAAATGACTGTTGTCAAGTCACTTTCTCAATGACACCTAGAGACCTCTGTGAATCCTCCCCCATCTCCCATCCTGGGAGACACAGTCTATTCAGCTCACTGGAAACTGTTCCCATTCCCCTGATTGTCTACAACTCTCCTCACCACATCTTTTCAGTTCTGCCATATTCTGTCTGGACAGAGAAAGGCAGAGCTGTACACAGTGTTCATTACACCAGTGAATGTGTATTTACAATCAAATACCAATTTTCCATTTTGTCCACCTTAAATTGTTGTGATTTTTTTTTCATCTACTATTGGTGACCCTTGAGTTGACATTTTCCTGCAGCTATTTACCATAAGCCAAATATTTCACTCTCAAGTGGCTCTGGGTCCATCAGATCACACTTGAATTCCACCTGTGTCCCTGTGCAATACCTTACACCCATCCACACTTCCTCTTCCACCTCACTGCCCAGCTGCTCGTTACTGAGACATCCTCCTGGGGCTCCTTGCATCTGGCCTCATCTTTTCCACCCAGAACAAAGCTTCCTCAGCTCTTCTTGTTATAAGCTTATTCCAGCTATTTTCCTGGATGGACAACAAGAAGGTGCAGAAGGAGAGGTGGTTTTCCACAGTCTTACTGCCACTGACTGGCAAGCACTCAGCAGCAGCAAGAAGCTCCCCAGCACATCTCTGATATCCAGTGTCTGGAGGACTGAATCCATCCCAGCTTGCCCTGGCACAGATCCCTCCTTCCATTACTGATGACATGGGAACATGAATCACAAAGCTTTAGGAGCTCAAGCAAGTTCCCTGTTCAGAGCAAGATATGCAGGTTAAAAGTTAATTTATCTTATTCAGCTTCCCAGCCTGTTTTGAATTAAAGGAATTAACCTGGGCCTTTGTTCTTCAGGAATGTAACAGGGATAGTAACTTTTCTTCCCTCAAAAATAAGCAGATAAAATCCACTAATGGCTTTCAAGCACTCTGATCCCAGAACAAATAGGATCCTAATGTAAAGATCCTAATTTTCCTATGGGAGCATTTTCTGTACTTGTTGGCATTGTTACCTGGGGCTCAGGTAGATGTTTGTTTCCAGACAAGCCTTTACTTCAAGAATTTCTCCTGTTCCCCATAGAAATCCTGAGAGTTTGTTCTCTCCCCTCCTGTCTACTCCAGCATCAGTTCTATTGTATTTGTTTAATGGGGTTAATATGCTGCTGGTATAATAATGATCATGCACGGATGCAATTATTATGTGTGATTAATTCTGCAGCTGATGAGAAGCTTGGAGGACTTTTCTTAGGCGAGGGAATAACTTCACAATAGCTCTTCTCACATTGCATTACACACAGACATAAACCCCAAAAGAAATGCAGAAGGGAACAGAGGGAAGGCTGGATTAGAGGAGACAGAGCTGTACCCAGCAGAGCAGCTGATAAAGGTTTAGCATCACATGGGCAGACACATTTCTGTGCTTTGTGTTTATGCACTGACTAGCTCAAATGATTCCTGGTCCATCACTGTGATCCCAAGGTATTACTTCCATGCACATAGTATGTAACTGGTTATAAATTTTTAATGACATTTCTGCCAGTGGTGTAAGCTTCTCTTGTTACTTTTTCTTTTTTATAATAAACACCCTTTAAACCAACACTGCATTTTGTTCTAAGATACAAGAGCACAGGCCAAAATACAAACTCCTACAAAATGCCAGCACAGGTTAATGATTTTTAAAAGAAGCAAGGAGAATGAGGTGCACAGCACACAAGCCATTAGCACTAAAATACCAACAGTGTCCACATCTGACAAAACTGTAAGATGCTTTTCTGCACGAGGCTTTTTGGCACACCCAGATAATTTACGGTCCAATGCTGGAGCCACGCTCTTGAGTGCTCTTAAGTGCTCAGAGTGATAATGGATCTATCTGTGTGATCAGGGAATGTAAGCTTAGGCCTATAGCTCAGCACGTTCCCCAGAACAATACCTGCACACTTATCCTCCACCAAACTATTCTTAAATCCCATATTTGTAACCTGAAAGGAAGACACTGCCTGCACAGTTTAAGTATCTGTAAGCTGCCCAGCTGTTTTCTAACCCATTTATTACCCACATAAACACCCATGACTTTGACATTTACCTGACTCACTTTAAAGGTTTAAGTGAAGGAGAAAATGTGCCCAGGAAACACTGAGACAGGCACCATCTCCCTTTTCTTCTCTAGAAAACCATCTGTCTCAGCCTCTGCAGTCTTTAACACCTAAAATCGCCAATGCTCCAGTCCAGTTCCTTCTCCTGCACACACTGAAATCCCTGAGCAAAGATGCCAAGGAGGCAGCACACATCCTGTGGGTGTACAGGTGGCAGAGAAGAGGGTCAAGGTGGGCAAAAAGCACAGCTGGAGACTTTGCTGTTGTGCAAAACTCCTTTGCCATTCCTAAAAGCTGACAGGACCACATATGGGTCCTGTACAGGGTCTGTGTGTGCAGGGCTGGGAATGGAGAGGGATTCTGCCCCTTGGCTCCTCTCAGTCTTACTATAAATGGCTGCCCTGAATAGCAGTTTAGGCTCAGTATTCAGGTGTTCCACAGGGCTATTATATCCAAAATTTCCATGATACTTTAAAGAAATCACTCCCTCTGAGCCTTGAAAAACGGAAGCTCAAATAGGACCTATTTAAGAAAACACAAGGGCCCTTTGCTCACCCTCCAAAAAGGGGCTCAGCAGTTTTAGCTTTCACCTTGTGAAGGACTTACTGAGCATCTCATTCAGCCAGCAGCATGTTCCAGACATAACGAGGGCCCTCACAGCCCTGCTCTGCAGGGCCTGGGGGGTTATCAGTGAAATGCTACTCCAGCACCTGGGCAAGGGCTGCTTTCCTTCCTTCTTTTAATTTCTTTCAGTTTCTGCTTCACTGGGTTTTCTTTTTCTCACCACACTACTGGGGGCTTTGCAGGCACAGAAGAACAATTCAGATGGCAGAAGCAACATTGTGACTTGGAAAAAAAGAAGTAGATTTTGATAGGTTCACAGTTTGCTTATAATAAATTATGGATTTCTATGTTTCACCTAAAGGTTGATCTAACATTGAGAGACGTTGGTCTGACACTGCTCTGTATCATCTGGATACAGAAAGGAAGAAATTTCATTTATGTGGAAAAGAAGTGGGCATTACAGATGCCTGAAAATTAATTTGGACCTGTATGGGGACTACTTTAATTTCATTTCTGAGAGTAAAACTTTAGGGTGTGTCTACTCTGCAGCATATATAAACAGGAGAGCTCTCTCCTGGGGCAAGGTTGCCTTTGTCTACCTTTGTTTTAAATTACTGAAAAAGATCCCAACTTAAAACCTTTTATTAAAACATGTACATGCAAACAAGAATGTGGCTTTAAGTAACCCACGTGGAGAACTATGTTGTCACAGCTAATAAAAGACAATGAGGGCTGCACAGGCTGGGGTCAGGTGTTTTACTGTTGCACAGATTTACCCTTAATTCTCAAGGGACTGACTGATGACACAGATTATTTCTGTAACCTACTTAAGTACAGTTTAGTGGAAAACCTGACTTTTCACATCCATGTAATGAAATATCTCATAAATATTTTGTTAGATCAGAACCAAAGAGGAGAGCATCTTGCAAAAGCAATTTCAGTGTTTTGCAGCTCGAGATACTCTGTCCATCCCAGAGAAGGCAAGGAACTGCCAAAGATTTACCAGCTTTGACAAGCAGGCACGCATCACAGAAAGCAAACACACCAACACACAGAAAGGTGGTTTCACAGTGCTATTAGCTGCTGGTTTCAGACAGGCAAAAGGACAGCAGGAGATGAATGAAGGTTCATTCATGATGAAACAAGGTTGAACAGCAGCAGCAGGTGACTGTGGCTGTGACTCCATCCCTACCATGGGCATTACCAGCACCATCCTTCTCAAGGATTTTCTGCAGCTCAGGCACCTACTCTGAGGCAATTTCCAATTTTTCCTTTAGGACTGGAACTCAGCTGCTGCAAGAACTCTCAAATCTTCCTTCTGCAGAAGATTTCCTTGTGCAGCAGTGGAGAATTCACAGCAGGAGGGTCCCCAAAGGGCCCAAAGCACTGGGTCCCCCAGCACTCAGCAGCACAGCAAGGGGACTAAACAAAGTGTAGCCCTGGGAAACACTTAATGGCACCAGGCAGGGCCTCTGTGGGTCACAAAATGACATTTAAACACTTGGGAAGTGCTTCTCTCTCTTTTTTAATGGATCTGCTGAGAACTACTCTGTGCATTGGGTTAACAGCACTTTTGCCATAATCAGATCTTGTAAAGGTATGAGCAATAAAGCAGACATTTGGGTATTACTGTCCCATCAGCTGAGCCTTCATATGATTCCCTCCAATTGCCCTGTAATATTTATCAGTACATGGATCTGAAATAATACTTAATTTTCAATCAGGTACTCTGCAAGGAAACCCAGCTCAGAAACGCTGCAGTTGAGTTCCTCGAGAGAGAAAATAAAAAAGCAAATTTTGGCTCAATGGTGCTATTTAATAGCAGAGAAAGTACTTACCAGGTGGTCTATTAATTGCAAGGTTTCGGAAATGACTGCCTTTGATCATCTCCACTGACAGTCTCCCTGTAGTGGCATTGTATGACAGTCCCACGAGCAGCTCTGGCACCCCTCCATGTGACAGGGACTGTGTTGAGGAAGCGCTATCACTGTGAGAGATTGCTGACAGACTCAGCTGAGAATCTGCACTCTGCAGGGAAAGAGCACCGAGAGAATCATCAGGACATTCACCACCCCCCTCCTTAATTTATATCTCGTGGCCTTGTTTAGTAAGATGTCTCTGAAGAAATTACAATAATTGAGAATTAATTATGCTGGGGCACCAGAAGAATCAGAGCATCACTTTTACAAAAACACATCTCTGAACTTTCTCTTTAAAGATGAGGAACTCTGAGTGAAGTGTTATCACGAGTGTAAATCAAAGCCTCTGAGATGAGCAAACATCCTACTACACTAATACTCTGTGCATCTCCTTGATAATGGCTTTTGGATGGAATACACTTTTCAGTTTGGCAGTTTCTGGCCTTGTACTGTGAATTTTCTTACTTTCTCTCCTTGCTACCACAACGCTTTCACTATTCTCCGCTTCACCTGGAGTAGGAGGTTTTATTCATTTCACGTGCACAGCCTCTCTCTGAGCTTTTTGCAGACAATGAATCATGACAGAGCTCATCTACACAAATTGATTGGCATAGCCAGAGCTGGATACAACTGTGATGTGCATGGAAAATCAAGAAGCAGCACAGCCAGTTCCTCTTCACATGACCCACCTCTCCACTTCCATCTGCCATGTAGAGGAGCCTTACTAAGCATTCCTGGCAAGATGGAAACTGCACAGTGGAGATCCACGGGCTGGTATCTAGGGCCAAATGAGGTAGCTGCTGCACTGGCAGTACCAGCACAGTGGTGCACAAGGACCTTATGGAAATTAAGACTAATTATGCCTTGGTGCTTCCCAGACCAGCCTGCTGTATCTGAACGGCACAGCATGTGGTGTGACTGGTGCAGATGTAGTAGATCCACACGGTTTTGTGGAAGCTTGCTAGCTGAGCTGTTAATAAAACACAGCTTTGCACAGGGAAGAAAAGCCCTGTGCTTCCTCTTACTGATAACTTCTGTAGTGACAGCAGGTCAGATCCACCAGTCACACACACACACTGAATAAAAGACTTCAGGAACACCATATTCACCAAAAACCAGTGTTATGGACTCCATCTGCCCTTCATCAAACTTACACTCAGGTTACTCCTTGGCTCCAAGAGCAGCGTCACCTTCACCTCCCCTTCCTGGCTGATGCCGCTCAGGTAGAACAGCTGCTCCCCCATCATCTTCTCCCCAACCACCTTGTGCACGGCGTAGAGGCGGAAGCGAACGGCCTGGCTGCTCAGCTCCTGAGCTTCCAGCTTGCTGAAGGTGATTTTGTCCTGGAAGACGGGGATGGGTCCTCTCTGCACACTCGTCTTACCCCTCTGTCTCTTGCCCGGCATCAGAACCGCGTGCACCTGCCAGGTGTTCACGCCACTGCGGTCCTTGTCTGGGATGTCCCTGGCCTCCAGGACAGTGGCTATGAGCTTTTGGCTTGAGGATTTATAGGTGAAGATGACATCCAGGTCACCACATTTGCAGATGGGCTCATGGGCACCGTGATGGGCTGGAGCGATGCTCGCTTCGTTGTGCTCCTGCAAGGAGAAGGAAGAAGTGAAACCTCCACTGGAGTTCAACTGCCTCTATGATTCCAAATCCATTTAAAAAGAAATTTTTCTCCTCACTTGTGCCTGCAAGCATAGGCAGTTGCTGTGTGATTTATGGATCCCACTATTTCTGGAAAGGCGAATGATTAATTGCCTGATTTTGTGTAATAGTCCCCATAAGCTCTAGTAAGCAACAGCACTTGTTGAAACATTTCCAGCAAAAAGTTTCATCAATATTTAAGTGTTTTGCAGGAGATGGTTAATTTGGCAAGCATTCTACATAGAGAAAAACTAAACAAAGGGATTTTTACATTTCATTCAGGTCAATATTGAGGCACCAGCAAAACATTTTGACCTACTTAACCTGTTACTTTGAACATACACTGGAATTGTTTTTCAAGGTGGATTTTTCTTTTTTTTACATTATTAAAATCAAACAATTCAGCCAAATCTGCAAACTTTTTTGATATTTTGTTCTGCTAGAAATTTAAAAAAAAACCAAAAAGCTGTGTTCAATTTGAAGAGGAAATCACCATGTCAGAATTTCTTGTGGAATGGAAATTCCATTTCTAGATGCTATCCCGTAATTCAATATTTTTTCTATTGCAAAAGCAATGATAATGGAGAAAAGCAGTCTGATTAAATACATATTGATTCTTTATACCCTTCTAAAATCTCCCAAGAGAGGCATCTGTTCCTTCTGTTCAGTTTGGGTACTAATACATTCAGAATAAAAAATTCAAAATAAACAATCACAACATGTGCAGACCAATTCACACACAATCTTTTACCTACTTTTAAAACAAAAACCATCTTGATAAAACAAGATAAAACCATGGATGCTCACCTTACCTTTTGCTGAGTGGGTGTGTGGGTTTCTGTTCAACAGTGCTTTTTTATCTTAGAGCTAGAATGTGCTTCATATGATAAAGGGGTTGCTATAGTGATCAATGATTTGTATTTAAACATGAGTATACACTGTACTAGGGAAAGATTTTCAGTTAATAGCCAGAAGGTGAATTAAGGCCTGTCACCACCATCTGAGTCACCCTCCTCCTCAAACATTTATCTTCTTTTCACATTTCAAGTAACACTTCTTTCCAACACAGGAATCTTTTTGTTCAGAGAACAGATGATGGGCCACGGGACGTCTGGTGTTAAGTCCCTTCTGAAGTGTCTGGGGTGGTGTGTCTCAAACAGGGCCTCGGATAAACATCAAAATTGTTGTTTACTTCCTGTCAATCTACTTTTGAAGTGCTCAGATTCATCTGCTATGACATGCAAAGCTCCAGATTTTTACATTTTTCAGAGGTGTTTAAGACTTGTGCGCATGAACACAAAAGTCCAAGCGTGCAGATTAGAGACCAGCTGTTGTATGTCTTGCAGAAGTAATGTCAAAGGAATATTCAATATGGGATGGGATTGTGCTTGACTCGTATTTCCCTCCACATTTTCATCCTTCCACACTTTTATCTGTGAGTTTGAGTTTGAATCAAGGCACATTTAAGGACTGCTGCTGAGGTGTGGAGACAACCGTGCTTGAGGCATAGCTTTGCTTTCATGTCTGAGCCAGAAAATGTGAACTCCAGTGCATCAGCACAAACCCACAGGAATGAAAATCCTAGAGTCACTTTCCTGCCTGAGCATATCACTTTCTGCAGTATGTAAGGCAGACTGAAGGTCAGATGTCTGCATTTTGACCTAACAGCCAGAAAATATTTGGATTTCAGGAAATCTCAAATTGTGCTACTAGAGCTGTGGCCAAATCCACTGCAGAGAAAACTGCATGAACTGGAGGCGAAGAGGGAAAGGGAAATGCCAAACTCCTTGGCAGTAAGATTTCCATGGGAAACCAAGCTTTGGAGACCTCATGGCCTGGCCCTTCCCAAGAGCACTGTGCTATCCAGGACTCACCCCCATGCAGGTTTGCTACACATCTACAGATCCTCCTTCTGTGGAAGTCATTGACAGAATTCCCCTCTGCCTTTGGAACCCAGCTGGGCTGCAAGTGATTTCTGAATGTGCTGGGTATGTAGACACTTGAATTGGAATCCAAGGAAAGATTGGGGTTTAGATGCTCCATCTGAGTTTTTTTTCTTTCCCTCTTCCCACCACAATTATTGAGAGGCCAAGCCAAGTATTCTTGTTGATACTGTACATCTAACCCTGTCATTCAGGACAGCAAACATCCACTTCACTAAGTAAAATAAGTCCATTTCTGCCAGAGAAACCTGAAAGAGCAGCTAATTATGGACAAGGCTTGAAATGGTACTTGTGGTTCCACTGCAGGAGCATAAAATTACCATTTCTGTCTCTAAAGAGAGGTCCTTTGAGTGGAGCATAATAACACTTGGACATTTCTGGCATGTCAGAACATTTAGTTCCTGCAATAAAAAGTCTTTCATTAATCCACACAATACCTTTGAATGAGAAGCTGCTTGTAAGAGATAAACTGTGTCTTGGGCATTTCTGCTCCAGTATGCTGGAACCCTTCTTTGCATTTTTAAAATGTAGACCCCAGGAGCAAAATGAGCCATGCATTCCAAAGAAATACAAGAGGACACCGGAGACACTGCGGCACACGTGAACCGTGGCAAAGCACATCAAACGTGGAAAAGAAGAAATGAGCCTCAGATGGGGCTCAGAGAGCAGACAGAGTGTGTCAGAAACACAGCAAAGAGAGGGCAGGGCTGCAGGCACACACAGCTGCCATGTAGTGAATGGTGTTTTGTGGGATTGGGTTGTGCAGAAAACCAAAATGCTGCTCCAAACACTCCTCAGGGCTGGAGCATCTGCACCAAGGAGCTGCCTTCCAGCTCTGAACTGGCTGCAGGCAGCCTGCTCCAAGGATAGGGACCTTCCCTCAAAGCCTTGTTGCTCAGAGTCCAATGGAGGTATGGATTTCCACAGCTCTCTTTTAACTCAGGGAGAAGATATGACCTTTGTGCTGTTCTTTTAATATGTCTGATGCAGGCTGATATTTTCCCAGAAATTTAATCCCGTGGTAAGATAACAAAAATCAACTTATCATGCAGAGAGATTAGAAGAGAAAAGGGGGAGGCAGAGTCATCAGGTGTTTATAAAGCCCTAAAATCTTAAATGTTTCCTTGAGGATTCAAAATAAAATAAAGCTGATGGAAAGCAGACTTGGGTTCTCTCCTTCCCTAAAATTTTGCCTGGTATCACTGGGGACAAGATTATGATCACTTATCCAGGTCACAGGCCAGCCCCCACCATTTGCCTCAAGCTTTTCAGATTATTCCCATTGTCTGAGCCATAGAAACTACCTGGCAAAAGAGGCAGATCTGACCCAGTGATCACACACCATGTCCTGGGACACACACCCTGCACCTGCAGCCAGTGACCAAGCCCTGGGCCACCACAGAGAGCTCTTTGCTAAATGGCAGCAAATGCTGCTGGGTAGCTAAAGTTCCAACTTCAGCTCAGAGACTGCAGTCAGAAACCAAGCAATGAAAGTGTTTCTGTGAATCAGTGTTAGTAGCAAGAGGTAAAATACCAGGAAAAAGGGGAAACACAAAGGAAGAGGCGTATGCTCATGCACACAAGCACACAGAAGCACCGTCATCTCGTGCTGCGCTGATCAATTTTTCACTTCATTTCTCCTCTAACCTTTTTTGGCCCCCAATATCCTTCAAAAGCTTTCACCATGTGTAATAAATGACAATCCACTGTACCTCAGGGCTCCAAGCTGATGAGCTGTCAGTAGCATCATTTACTTCCAATCCCTGGCTGGCAAATGCTGTCTCCATTTCCAGACGTGTGTCTCCATATCCTTCCCTGTGTGACTGGCTGACACCATCCCCAGTTCTGGGCTCCATCCTGGGCCCTTTGTGCTGCCCACTGCCCTTACTCCTGGTTGTTCTTGAATCAACAGATACGTGGTCATCTTCACGGCAGGAAAGGTTTTCTTGGTAACTCAGTTGGCTTAGTCCATCCAGATCTAACAATTTTCAGTAAGAAAACAATTTCAGAGGGATTAGAACAAATTCCTCCCCCTTCCAAAATGTGCCTGTCTCTCCTTTCTTTTATTTTTTTTCTAACTTTCCCCTAATCTCCAGTGCTTACAACAGACAGTTTCTGTTTCTTGCAGCACTGAACCTATAAAATAGCCAATCCTGATTAAATCAGCATTTTATAGAGGGAACATGGCTATTTCTCGCCCCATCCTGAACTGAGAAACACATTGCCTTTACTTGAACAAGTTACCCACAAAATGGAAGTGTCAGTGGAGTGTCTGGGATATTCAAGTGCAGACCCAAAGCAATCTCTTCTATGAAAACACAAATCAAATTACAGAAAAGCACAGCAGAGGCCTGATGAACAGGAATCACCATTTCCTCCTGGTCAGGAGGAGGAGATGACAAGGTTTAGCATTGTCCTCAAGAGCATGGTGCTGGTGAGGAAAGCAGCTTCACAGACATAACAGAGGGCCAGCATTACCCTCTCACCCACCCCTGAGAGCTTAGGTGAGCATGGCCAGCTCCAAAAACCAACCAGGAATCTCTAAAATCTGTGCTTGGGCTGAATTGTCCTCCCAAGGACAACTGAGGGGAGATGTGTTACCTAATTTCCTAACTGCTTTTATTAGTTTCAATTAATCTTGTCCTACTCACACGTACTCCATGGGCTAGAGTAAGCTTCATTAATGAGAATAAAATAATTCTCTCTGCTTCACACCACTGGTTCCTTTTCTACACCACTGAAATCTCTGCTATGAACACAGGGTGCTTTTTTCTACTTGAAAGCACCAGTGAGAGCTCTCTGGGTGGAGCAGCACAGATAATTACACATCCAGGGACGTGTAATTAATGATGAAAAAACACCTTTTTGATTGGCCTTGGATGTGTTCTGCAAGCACTTTCAGAAGAAAACCAGGGACATTCCTCCTCCTAATGCATCTCATGATGAGCCTTGCTTCAGGAACATGGAAAGACAGATTCTGCCTTCATCTCTTTCAAATAAGAAAAAGCAGTCACAGTGAAGGAATGAGCTGTACTTCCAGACAGCTGATGACAGCAATGAAAACAGAACAATCTCCTTTGCAAACAGAGCTATTTGGGGTTTAAAGGTTTCACAGAGGAAGGTGAGGTTGGAAGGAGCCTCTGGAAGTCATCTTGTCCCCTCCCCTGCTCAAGAAGGGCTTGCTTTGTTCCTGTGAAGGTCACTACTAAAGAATAGTAATTTTTTTTCAAATTTTGTCTCAAATTCAAATTTTAAAAAATAGTATTAATTACTGTGTTTAATAGAAAACTATTAGTTTGCTTTTGCTAAATGAATCAATGTTTTTGTTCCCTGTCTGATAAATGAGATCAAGAATCTGGTGGCAACTGACATGGAGAAGGCTGAAGTGCCCAATAACTTTTTGTGTCTCAGTTTTCACTGTCAGCTGCTTGTCCCACATCTCTCAAGTCTGCGAATCTCCAGGCAGGGACTGGAGGAATGAAGTCTTCATCTTAGGAGAAAATCAGGTCTGAGAGCCTTGAAAATCCATGGCACCTGATGAGATGCATTCCAGGATCCTGAGGGAACTGACACATGCAGGACAGACATGGACCTGCTAGAGCAGGTCCAAAGCAGGGCCATGAAAATTGTCTGAGGGCTGAAACACCTTTTGCATGAGGATAGGCTGAGAGACTTGGGGTTGTTCCTCCTGGAGAGCAGAAGGGGTCAGGAACACCTTATTGCTGCTTTTCAACACTTGAAGGGGGATTACAAGAAGGAAGGAGAGACGCTTTGTGCCAAGGCCTGTAGTGACAGGGCAAGGGTAATATTTTAAACTGAAACAGGTGAATTTAGGTTGGATACAAGGAGGAAATTCTTTCCTGTGAGGTGGTGAGACCACTGGCACAGGCTGATCAGAGAAGCTGTGGGCACCCAGCTTTGGATGTGTTCAAGGCCAGGCTGGATGTGACTCTGAATAACTTGATCAAGGCAGGGGGGTAGAACTAGATAAATTTCAAAAGTCCTTTCCATCCTGAGCCATTCTATGATCCTCTACACATCTCTCTGTCTTAGAACAAAAAGTCCAAATATTTATGAGTAGAAGAAATTCTATGTTTGGCATTATCAGCAAATATACTGTTTCTGATGCTTATCTGTTCCACACACACACGCAGAATTCCAACAAGAGGAGTGGGGATTATACTCAGGAACATTTCCTGCAGGTGAACAGAAGTCCTTATTCCTGTCCTTGGCTGCTTTTTCCATTTAAGAACTCAGAAATTAGGAGAATAACTTTATCCCCTTTCTTCAACTATGAACAATCTCCACTCTTCCTCCCAGTAAAATGCTTCAAGCACAGGCACTTCAACCAAGAAGTCTGAGAGCACCTCACAGCTTTGTAATTATGATCCTCTTCCTCATGGGAGATGGTCCTTCAGGAGCAAAGAGGGATCCAAATGCATATCTCTCAAATTCCAGGTGGATGCTCTTCTCACTCCCTTCTGAAATGTAAAGCCCATCTCTTCTTCTGGTGTTCATCCTCCCATCTGGCAGACCCAGTTCTGAACTGAGAGCCCTCATTGTCTCACCTCTGCCCTGAGCTGAAAGGCTTCAGTGTGGGTAGAAAGTATTTTTATTTTTTTGGCCATTACTCCCCTTCTTCTCTACAGTCAGAAAACAGAAAGAACTCAACGAAAGAGCATAAGCAAGAAATAAAATAACAGAAATTCCACGCTTTTACTGAGACTGAATGGATACAGGCACTCCTTAAGGCATTTAATTAGCAAGCCAATGTCTAATACACTTTTAAACAGTGGGTCATCCATCAAAGCACACACCACACAGCAGGCTTTCAGAATAAAATGCTTCTGTAGTAAGAAATTATCCTCACACAATTGTCTTGTGGGTTTGACTCCTGCTGGGATAATATCTAGATCAATAATAGAGGAATTTTCAAAAACTACATTAAAGCCATAAAAGTCTACCCGTAACAGGAGAACTCCAGAAATATATTAATAGAGCAAGCCATCTCCCTGAGACTCAGGCACAAAATGAATGTGTTAGGAAAGCAAATGTAGTATTCAGGGGAAGTAAAGAAAAAAGGTGATTCACCCAAACCAATCAGAGAAGCAGTCTGGCTTTTTCTTTAAATTTAGAGCAGTTTGGTAAGAGATAATCACGTATAAATACCAGTATTAGATGATCATTACAGGTAATAGACCGACCACACAGACTAGAACAACTACACCTCTCCAATTACATCCGTTCCAACATTATGTTCACAAAATAAATGTTGAAAACAAAAGTTCCTCCCGTAAAGGAAAAGGTCAGAGCAGTAAAATGCCTGTAATTTACCTGAGAGATCTTTAAGGAAGAAAATGTCAACCGTCTTATGAATACCTGACGTGAATAAACAGCACAGCATCAGGGACAGAGGTTGAGACAGCATTATCTGAACTTTAATTAGCCAAGATTCCCTGCAGAGCAATAGCAGACAATTCAATGATTAAGGCAGGTAGTACTGTACAATGAAAAATGTGATTTTCCTTAAGAATTCTGTCTCCCAAATTTTCCCTTTCAGGTCATATGTTCACAATCCAGGAAGGAGGCAGGGGGGGATGCTGGGTAGCAGAAATCATCAATAAATCAGAAAAGTCTGTGTTCAGGGTTGGAGAACTGAAAAAACTGCCAGATGAAAGTATGAGCATGACCTCCTAAAAGAACCCTAACAGGAACTGGGATATAGAAGCATGTCTCCAAAGATACAAGGAATGCTTGGCACATCCAACACTGAAAACCAGGCTGGAAAATGTTGTACAGTCCCTCCTCACATTGGCAGGCAAATGTTCTGGCTAATTTACAGTACCTTTCTTTTTTTTTTTTTTTTCAATGACACACAATCTCTCAGTTCTATGAATCTTTATATTGTGCCAAAGAAATGTCCTGAGAGGTCTCATCACTTCCTAAAACCCAACTGCCACAGTTAAATGATGGGGACAGGTAGATCTTGCTAAATTAGCACCACACAGTTCATTAACCAGCAAGAAACATAGATGAAGAATTTATGTGTGCCTGTTACCTGTGCTGACCAAGGCCGTGTTTGCTATGTGAACTCTGAGGAATCATTGTGCTTCCATGCCAGAAAAAAATAAAATAAAATAAAAATTTAAAGAATTTAAGAAGGATGTATTTGCTTTGAGAGAAATTAGATCCCTTCTTTAACCTGTATATAAACTCATGATGAAAGTTAAGAACCTGTTTAAATATAGTCTGGAGGAAGAAAGGATTTCAGGATGGACCTAGGTACCTCTGGACCTGAAATCCTCCTAGCTACAAGCAGTGATTTTCCAAACCCCTTTTCCTATAAGACAGCAGAGCTATGGATTAGTGGGCCTGAGGCACATTTGCTCTCACACAGCAGCAATTCTTTTGCCTGGTCCCCACTACAGCCCCAGTTCCAAACCACTCTGCAGTACCCCTGAACCCCTTGCACTGAGACAAACCCACAGGGACACCAAGCACTGCTCCTGCCCCTGCTTATTTTGAGATTAGCCACCAAAAGAGCACTAAAAAATTTCACAGAAGAGCCTCAAAGGAGCAGAATCATTATCTAATTACAATAAATCTAAACAAAAATGGCTTGTAAATTTTAGGGGTTAAAGAGAAAAAGGATCTTCCATTTCAAGTGACATTATGCAATCAGGCCAAGATTGTTTAATTTACCACATGCTGGGTAATAGTCTGAGAAGGCTCCATGTTTCCAGAACTAAAATGGGCTCTTTATTAACAGGGTGATTTGCAGAGAGGCTGTGGGCAGAGCTGGCATTCGAGCCTGTTCAACTCCCCAGAGCATCCTCCAAACACTTCCTTCACGCTGTGTGCACTCCAGGATCTATTCAGCTTAATACAGAGACTTTTTAACAGGTGAAAAGTTAAAGCTAAATGAGTCCAAAGTGCAGACTCTCACGACAGTGAAAACAGAAGCCGAGGGTCAAGGAA